GTGATGATGGTGATGATGAGGGTGGTGGTGACGATGAGGATGGTGATGATGAGGATGATGGTGATGGTGGTGATGGTGGTGGTGGTGGTGGTGATGGTGGTGATGGTGGTGGTGGTGATGATGATGATGGTGGTGATGGTGGTGATGAGGGTGGTGGTGATGGTGATGGTGGTAGTGGTGATGATGGTGATGGTGGTGATGGTGGTGATGATGGTGATGGTGGTGATGGTGGTGGTGGTGATGGTGATGGTGATGATAAGGATGGTGGTGGTGGTGGTGGTGATGATAAGGATGGTGGTGACGATGAGGATGGTGGTGGTGGTGGTGGTGGTAATCACTGTGATGTCAAGTGATACGGTGAAGGAAGCACTGAAGGTGGTGGTATCAGTGCTAGAACCGATGATGACAGCATGGATGACAGGCATCTGGTGCTGGTGGAGGTGATGACGTCGGCCAGGTGAATGCCAAGGGTGGTGACAAGGATGATAATGGTGACATCAGGCTCTGAGCTGAATGGATTGAGAAGTTTTTCCAGGATTGGCTCAGAAGACTGTCTACAGATTTAAGCCTTGCCTTGCCCCCCAACCTCCTGCCCCAGATGTGGGCTGGCAGAGGAAGTTATTTTCACCCTCTTCAGTTTGTCCTCCAGGGGGGCTATGGCATGGCCCTGGGCCCCTCCCCGGTGGCAGTGGGTTTTATGGGACTGCCTCCTTACCGAGGGTGGCATTGGGTAACAGCCACACTGCTCCCACCACAGGCAGCCTGAGCCTGCGGGCCTATGGGACGGCTCTCCAGACACCATCTCCTGGCTCTCCAGGTTCGCTCTCAACTTGACACTGAGGTCCTTGTGGGCTCCGGTCACGGCATTTTATTCTTATGTAGGAAAAGGCAGTGTCCACTCAGTTCAGGGAATGTGGTCCCATCTCATCTTGTGGTGGTTAGGCAAACATGAAGGGCTCATTTCCAGCTGAGGCCGGCAGGCAGCCGGAGGCTCCCCAAGCTGCTCCTGCTATAGAAATGGGTAGAACACCGTAAATTGCTCAATCGATGCCTCTGCTCTGGTGAGGGACCCACCTCAGTCACATCCATCTCTGGCCTGGGTGGCTTCGGGAGGGGGGGAGCAGTGCCTAGGGAGGGGAGCCCCTTGTCTGCCTTCTTCCCAGTGTCAGTCTGGCAGCCTCAGGTGCGGGAAACCTGACTCCTCACGGCTGAGGCCAGTGTCTGGGGGCATCTGACTTCCTCCCTGAGGCTCCCCGGACTGCCAGGCCCTGCCCAGACCCAGGTCTGAAGGAGCCAAGACCCAGAGCCCCACCTGTGGGGGACACATGGGGCCCTGGGGATGGCCTGAGGGTTCTGGGATAGGCAGGTGACCGTCCTTCAGTGGAGGGGGAGGCGAAGGCCTGGTTCATAGCTCCCATTGCCCCTGGGCAGGAGGAGGCCAAAGAGGCAGGATGTGGGAGTTGTGGCTTTAGCTGAGGTTTTGGAAGTGAAGGGGGTGTGCTCTGGGCCCTTACAGGAGTGGGTCTGAGGGCCTGCAGAAGCTTGATGGGGGTAAAGTCTGGGGGCCTGCTAGGCAGAAAGGGCCCTGATTCTCCGCTCAGAGGGGCATGTGTGTGGGTGTGGGTGTGCTGAGCTGGAACTGCGGTGGGTTGGGGGCATCCCCCGGGGGCCCTGTACCCTGCCTCTGACCTCCAGGTTTGGGGGTCGGACAACTGCCCCCCAGAGGCCATATCCAGGGCCATCCTCCTAACCTGCTCCTTCTCCTCTCCCCTGGTGGTTTGTCCCCAGCCCCAGCCCCACACAGGGAGGGCCTGACTTCCTTCTGCCGCGGAGTAAGGAGAGTGGCATCGGTGACCGCCATCTGCAAGGACGGCTGAGGGGTCAGGCCAGTGGCATCAGGCCTGGAGACAGAGGAACCGAAGTGCAGCAAAGGGGAGAGGGGGGAGGAGGGGAGAGGGGCAGCGGGGAGGAAGGAAGAGGGGGAGAGGGGAGGAGGGGAGGCCAGAGAATGTGCTAGGTGGGCGCACAGCCGGCAGGTGGCGCCCGGGCCCTGGATGGGCCTAGGGTGCCAGTGGTTGGTGAGGGACGGAGGAGGAAGACAGAGCAGAGGGCAGGGGCGGCCGTGGGTCTGGGATGGGGGGCTGCGGCGGGAAGAGCCCTGGAGTCCAGCCCTGCCTGCATTCAAGAACGGATGGGGCCCAGCGTCCCCTCACCTGCAGGTAAGGGGGAGCACAGTGCAGAGGGGCCGGGGTGCTTTGAGGTGGGAGATGACCTCTCAGGCATCTGCCTGGCCTACTACGTGCCTCCCCCTGGTTTCGGGACGCCTGTCTGCTCCCCGTAAGCCAGCGTGGACTGCAGAGCTGGGTGGGGAGGCCAGGGTGCAGCTACTGGGCTTCTCCCACCATCCCTGGACAGGACCTGGCCGATGCCCCTTCTTCCCTCTCCCTGACCAAGCTCCAGGCCGGCCTCCAATGTCCTGAGGGTCAGGAATCGTCCAAGATTTGCCGAGGAAACGATGTGCAGTGCAGAACATGATGGTTGTCTGCGCCCCGAACCTCCTGTCTGGGCTTTTCCCACTTCGTGGATTCCTCCAAACGCACATTCACTCGTCCCTGACCAAAGCAGGGATGGTGGAGGGGCAGCGCTTGGAGCACAGGCCTCTAAGGCAGGGCATCAGGGCATCGGGGCAGGCTGGCTGGGGGCTTGGGGCGGGTGGGGCCTCAGAGTGAGGAAGGGGTGGAGCCCCCAACCTGGGGGGTCAGCGCCACACACCAGCGCCAGAGCAAGACTGTCCCCCACCCCCATGACTGCCCTGCAGGCAGCTGTCCTCCCAGGACTCAGTGTTTGTGGGGTTGCTGCCATCCCTCCCAAATTCCCCGGTCAGGCACCTGCCCCAGACACAGTTCTTAAGACCAAGAACCATCATGGCTCACGCCTGGAACCCCAGAGGCCTGCGGCAGACAGGGAGGTGCCCACGCCCGTGAAGCAGGAGTGGGGGAAGACGCCAGATGCCTGCGTGGGGCAGCCGTGGGGCCTGCCGCGGAGCAGGGTGGCCAGGCCGGCGGCTCTGGGACATCCAGGTCAAGGCCCCAGGAGAGAGGTCTCGCAGTGGCAGGGGTGACAGCGGGAGGGGCAGGGGGCCCAGGCCCCAGCCCCAGGGGAGGGGCGGGAGGGGCTAGCAGACAGAGAGCAGAAGGGACCCCAAGCCATTTCCGGCAGGGGGGGGTGCAGGCAGGGGTCCCTCCAGGGCGGCCTCTCCGGGGTGCAGGCATGGCTCAGAGCCCGCCTGCGTGGGGAAGCTCCTGGCTGCGTCACACTGAACTATTCTCGGCCTGTCTCCTTGTATGGCTCCGGAAGTGTGCCTGGAAGCCGGCGCTCTGTGCTGGGCGCGCTCTAAATGGAGAGGCACAGAACGGCAGGAAAGTTGGCCATCACCCCCTCCCTGGACGTCCTGAAGCCCCAGCTCCGGGGGTGTCCGGCCAGGGCCAGCTCGCAGCACACCCCCTGTCCGGGCGGAGGGGCCGGCCATGCTCAGGGCTCCTGTGGCACGATCTGATCTGAGTCCCTGGGTGTCCAGGGAGGCGGCGGGGGTGGTGCAGCCTGGCAGGGCGCCCAGTGGGGCAGGGAGGAGGGGGTGGCCACGGGCTCCAACCCCCGCAGGCGGGCTCCCAGCTGCGCCTGCGAGTCCTCACGGCACTCCTGCACGTGACTGCTGGGACCCTGGGACCCTGGCTCTCCCCTCATCCCTGACCCTCCTCACAGGCCTCGAACCTTCTCCCACCCACAGCTCAGCTTTCCAGCCGCCTGCCCCCGCCCAGGCCCCTGTCCTCCCTCCACAGACCCAGGCTGGTGGCCTTGGGCCCCACCTTCGGACCTCTCCCCTCTCTCTAGTAACCCTCCCCTCCCGGCTCTGCCCCTGGCGAGGGACAGAACCCAGAAATCCTGCCCCCCTGCCCTGCTGGCCCCCCGCTGCAGCCGGCCCATCCCGGCTCATGCTCCAGCTCTCCCCACCCGTCAGGGCTCCTTGGGCTGCTGGCCCCAGAACACCTGGGGTGTTGGGGAATCTGAGCAGACCGAGTCTCCTCAGGGGAGGAACCCGGTGGGCTCGTCCACTCCACAGGCCCAGCGCAGGCTCAGAGGCTGCACAGTCAGCGAGAGCATGCCTTGCTTGGACAGAGGATCAGGAAGGCACTGATGCACACAGCCCCCCGCCCCGCACACGTTCACACTCATACACTGACACACAGAGGAAGACAGCGTGCTCAGGGGCTCTGAGGCAGGGGTGTACTAGGGACGACAAGGTCACAAAAGACCCAGTTAACATAGTGCTATGAGTATGGGAAGGCTTCCTGGAGGCACTGACAGCGGGCTCAGATTTAGACAACATGTAAAACCACGCCGAGGTTTTTATGCTTCGGTTTTAAAACCGGACAGGCCTTTGTCACTGGAATCAGGGGTGATGTGCCGTGAGTCGGATCGGGCATTCATAGAGTGAACAGGGAGGTCAGAGGTCCAGCCCACTCCTCGTCGGCGCCCGCCACTGCTGCCAGCCTCCAAGCTGCCCACGCCAGGACCCTTGGCCTCCCCTGGGTACAGTGTGCCCACCATGTGGCAAGGGGGACGCCGGGGCCAGAGGGGCTAATGCATCTGCAGGAGGTCACACAGCGCCTCGAGAAGCGGGGTGGGGACGCAGGGGCCCAGTGCCCCTCCGGTGTTCTGTGGACGCTCAGACCCAGCCTGAGGCACCTGCCGAGCCAAGGGTTGAGACAGACACGCCGTGAGCCGCGTGCGTGCAGTGACTCCCGGGCCCACCTGTCCAGGGTTCCCACCCTGTACACCTGCCTCCTGGAGTGGGGGCTCTAAGACCCCCCACCCTGCACACCACGGAGGCCTCCCTCCTCCCCTGGTCCTGGCTCTGCTGGGAGGGGAGCCAGTCTGATTTGCTGGAGGGGAAGAGCCCGAGGCTCCGCGCTGAGGCCTGGCCTGCATGCCTAGAGCCACACACAGCCTGCGTCCTCCTAGGCCCCGTCCTCCAGGGCCCATGTGCGGGTCATGATGATGCCCCTGTTTTATGGGGCCATCTGCACGGCCCCGCACCCCACCTTGAATAGCACCTGCCATGTCGGGCTCGGGAGCCGTTCTTGATTGAATGACTGACTTGCCCCCTGGCTGAGTGGGGTGAGGATTCTTTACAGGGAAGAATGTGGGTGCCCGGAAGGGGCAGGGCTGACAGCACTTACCCACGGTTGCACAGGGCACGGACTGAGCTCACGGGACCTCCAGGAGCCTGCAGGCCTTTCCCCACCCAGGCTCGCCGCAGTGCCCTGGTCCGGCCTCCTTGCTGCGGAGCTTGGACAAGTCCCTGGCTCTCTCCGGGTCTGTTTCTTCCTTCCGTACTGGCTCAGGGCGCTGGTGAGGATGGTCTCCAGTCCCTGGGGCTCGACCTCCAGGCCTAGGGCGGGTGCCGGCAGGGTGCAAGGCGCAGCTGGCTCAGGCACCGCTGTGCCGCCCTCATCGGAAAAATACAAAACTTTCCTTGGAGCCCGCGCGGGGAGGGAGGCGCTGAGGCAGGCGGCGGGAGTGGGGGGAGAGGGTCTGCTGTGTGGGGGCCCAGAACGAACAGGCTGCCTGTTCCAGGGAGAGGACGCAGCACACACACCCTGCCAAGCCGGAGACAAGAGGAAGTTCGGGTGGGGGGGATTGGAAAGAAGCTCCCTCAGCTCTGGGTGCTCACTTGGAGCCCCCCCACATCCAGACACCTCTGCCTCCCACAGGGCCCCCCACGCCAGTGCTCAGGCCCCTCAGCAGCGCATGCGCCCGCCGCTGACGGGGTTCTGCTGCCCTGCCCCCACTCTGCCCTGGGCTCCCAGGCATCCGTCCCCGGAGGTGCGTCAGGCAGGTGTGGCCGAGGGACCCCACCGCTCACTTGCTGGCTAAAGGGCCCGGGGCAGGGCCCCCCACCCCTGAGAACCTCTGTGAAAACAGGGCGAGAATGTCTCCCTGAGAAAGGAACAGGGGCCGGCCTCTCCCGCTTTCCTGGCATGTCCATCTCTCTGCCCCTCTGCCCCACCGGTCCTTCTTGTCTCTTTGCCCTTGGGCCCGGTCTCACCTCCACCACACCGGGCCCCATGCCCTGGCCCTCCCACATCCCTGGGGCCTGTGCAGCAACCCCCCCAAGGCAGCCGGCCCGGCCCCCGGGCCGCCTCCAAAGACACAGCCCCCCCTGAGGAGATGCTGGGGAAGGAGAGCTGGGCCTGCAGAGGGCTCGTGGGGAGTCCGGGTGGGCCTCGTCCTTCCCCCCCCCACCCCACCGGTTTGTGGGGGCAGTGCAGTGAGGCCATGTGACCCAGGAGGGCCCCACGGGGTGGCAGGCAGGGACCATGGGCCAAGCCTGGGCAGGGAGGGCCAGGTGAGCAGTGGGTGGACCCTAGCTGCCCGGCTTCTACCCCACAAGGACAGGGTCACGGGGCTGGTGCAGCGGCGGCCCCGGGGTGGGGGGGGGGGGGGGCATCATCAGCTGGTGCTCTGCTCCCCCCACGGAGCCTGTGCTCCCACCCTGGGGGCTAAGTGCTGCTAGCCACTGACCACCGCAGGCGATTTCCTGGCGACTAGCTGTGATGGAGGCCCTGTGCAGGCAGGGGGAGTCTGGAAAGTCCCAGGGCTATGAGTCCACAGGCACAGGCAGCCTGACGGGCCTGGATGAGCTTTACCCCCCAGCACACCGGGGAGCCAGGCAGTGGGACAGGGAGCCTGCACTAAGGGGCCCCAGGGCAGGTGTGAGCCCTGGGTCACAGAGCAGAGCCAGAGGGAGGCAGGACCTGCGGAGGGGGCCTGGGGCCGCGTTTCCGGTGCGGGTGGGGGGTGTGGCTCCCTGAGGCTGTGCATTTGGGAGGGAGCTGTCATCTCATCTCCAAATAGGCACCTTAGCCTCACGGACCAGCACCCGGGGTCTGGGAGCCCGGAACCCGAGCGGCAGAAGACTGGAACCCCAAAGGGACAGAACGGGGGTGGGGGGGTTGCTGCCTGCAGACCTCCCCCTGTGGTCACTCTGGCCTGCCCTCCCTGCCGACAGAGCCCCCTCCTTCGAAGGCAGTCCAAGGAGCAGCTGACCAGCTTGGCTCTAAGGGGGGGGGGGCGGTGACAATCCCCCAGGCCTCCCCCCTGCACAGCTTCCCCTCCCTCTCCCCACCCTGCAGCCCTGAGCTGCCCTGCTCTGGGTGAGGTTGGGGGCTGGAGGCCGCACTCTGCACCTTCACCCCTGCTTGTGGGGAAAGGGGGGCGGCGGAGCAGGGCGGGGCCGACGCCCCCATCCTGGGTGGTGGGGAGCCAGACTGACCTCTTCTCCGGAGGCAGCAAAAGAACGCAGCCCGAGGCTCCAGTGCGGAGGTGTGCTGAGGGCTTCTGGGGCGATAATTGGGCAGCGATTAAGTGTTCCCACGCTGAGGCTGTCGCCTGTCACCTGTGACGGCCAGTGCTGTGCGGCCTCCGCGCAGGTCCTGCCAGGTCTCCCCGTGCCCGCCAGCGCCCCCCTCCGCTGGACTGTTCTTCCTCGTGCCCGCAGCAGGCGGCTCTGGCCCTGGGAGGGGGGCACCAAGGGCTCCGAGTCTGAGATCCTCTCCCCTACCTGGGTACCCCCACAAAGGGGATGCTCACTCAGCCCCCAGCGCCCCTAGTGCTTCGCTGCTTTTCTGGGTCTGGTCAACCCCTCCAGCCCTCTAGGTCCCAGCTGGGCTCCCCGCTCCAGGAAGCCCTGCCCGATGGCTGCCAGCTTGGGTCGGGTGGAGTGGGGGCTGGGTCACTGTGGGCCCGAGACCCAGAGAGCTGTGCCCTGGCCTGGGCCACCCAGCTGGTCAGGAGACCTGGGCCTTAGTGTCATCCTCAGGAGTGACCTGGTCTTTGTAAGCCGCTGGTCATTCACGTGCTGGCTCTCTGGCACTCCCACTGCTTGCACACGCATGCACACACACATGTGCATGTGAGTGTGGTCCCGGCCCAGCTGGCTTATTAGGTGTCTTCCCCGACAACGGCCCTGAGACACAAGCCTGAGCTCACCCCAGACGTGGACACAGACTCAGAGCTACAGGCAGGCCCTGTGGTGACCAGCCAGTCACACCTGTGGGCCTGGCCACGCTCCCCGCCACACAGACATTGCACACATGGGCACAGGCAGGTTCCCAGCAACGCAGCCTGGGCTGGGCAGCTCTGGGATTCCTGTTCTCGCAGCTTCTCTGCCCGGCTCCCCCACCCTACTCCACGCGGGCCCTCCGCCCTCCCTTCTGCCCACCCACTCGCCTTTAATTAGAAATGCCAGGAGAGCGATTCTGGGCAAGTTTTTGCCAGAAAGACATTTCCCCCCAACTAGGGGTGGAAGCTCAGAGGGGAAAAGAGACAGATTGGCTCTGGGGTAGGGAGGAGGGTTTCCAGGAGAGCAGGGAGAAGGGGCCTGGTGGAGGGGCAGGGAGTGGGGGTTCCAGAGAGTGTGTGAGTCAGACAGAGTGGGGCTGGACACGGATCGGGGGACAGGTGGGGGGTATGAGTGTGTCTGGGGATGGGTGGGGGGTATGAGTGT